TAAATAAATAAATAAATAAATGCAACTTTGCATATTCATATAATCCAAGATAAATCTAAATCATATATAGTGTATGTACAATGAATTTTTGTTTGGAAATGCTAGTATAGATGAAACTGTCTAGAATAATCTGTAGAAGCCAAAGCTATCAAATGATACCACTCTCATTTAATCCAAATAAATCAGTAACAACAACAGTATTCTGTTCTATATCTCCCATCCATGTATTTTTAGGGCATCCAATAAACACAACATGCTACTGTTGTGTCAGGATTCTTTGGGTCCTAGGCAACTACTCATTTAGGGTCCAAAGAGATCCTTTGTCTGAGACGTAAACTATCATGCACCTTGATGTCTTAATCAAACAGAATATAGAATACTCAAAACATTAGGTACTAATAGAAGGGTTTGTACTGGGGGGGACCTGTGCCTCTCCCACATACAGTATTGCTGAACTCTAATCCCCATAATCCCAGGCCAGAAGTAAATCAGAAGTAAATGCTGACACTGTATACATAAAAGTGGTATCTATATCCCAGATACAGTTCTAGACAATAGCTATCATGGCCTTTCAGGTAAGGATAGTCAAGAACTAAGCCCATTTTGGGAATGTAATGCATGTACATCCAAGTTACAGAAGAACATATTCACATGAGGCCCAGTGCAAAATGCAACAACTGCAACAATGGCAAGCTGGCCTCCTGAGTCGCCAATGCAAGCACTGGGCTGTTTCACTTTGCAATTTAAGGGTGTTTAGCTTAGAGGTCAGGGTCCATCCATTAAGAGAATAAAATTATAGAACAGATTGTCTGAAACATGTATGATATAGATAATAATTCCCAAGTATCTGTATTAATAGTTTCCAAATACTGTACTTTAAGACATGAACCCATGAACATGACAGACAGCAGAAATCTTGTTCATCAGTGTGCCCTGAAAGCTTCCTCTGATCAGTCTACTGAGATTTGATCAATTTTCTCTCCCTGTCGTTTCCACTTGTGTTGATTCTGTTGCATTTGGAGCCTTTCTACACTCTACTTCTGGTTGAGCTAAGGTCTATTATGTGTGTGTTCGTCCTGCCTTTACTTACAGTTTTCATGGAACAGAGCTATCAGGTTCTGATTTAACCCTGTATGGGCCTTCTTTATTGTTATTTTTTCAGAAACTAGGATCAGAGCAACACAAGGTGTCCTATACAACACTACCTGTACCTTGTTAATGCTACCCCTTGTTTCACCACTCCTCATTGTTCCAATTCCTGGTCCCTTCCATTCATCAGTTACGACCTCCTTCCTCTACCACTTGTCTTATCCAAATGCCTTGCTCTGAGGCTTCTTGAGAACACTTTTATGTATATAGTAAGGTGTCCATATAAACTGCTTGTGTTGCCAAAGTGCAGATAATCTGCACAGCCAATCTTCTCACATTGCGTTTGAGGAAGAAACCCTCAAAATGTGGCATTCAGAGCTTGAGGAACTGGATGCCAGTCATTTCTCTAGAGTGTGGCACTGCCATACCAAGAAAGTAGCCCTACCAATACCTTCCTCTAGAGAAATTAAACATCTTCCCCCTCTTGCCCTGAAGCTCCTATGTGTACTAAGTAATCCATTTCATCTTCTGGAACCCAAAGAGGCTGCAGGACAGCATTAGGAAGTCTTTAATTTTTGAAAATTGCCACTGGTAAATTCACCCCAGTGTTGTCGATTTTTGGTAATTAAAGATTTTCCCCTCCCATCTCACTACCCCTATGGGTTCGGTTCCTGATGATAAAAGGGATTACTTGGAACTTGCTGGGGGCCTTGTGATGTGGAGGGGGATATGTTTTATTTCCAAAAATATAGTCTTGGCTGATGATGTCTTAGCTTGTGATGCAGAACCTACATGAACAGAATTTCAGTCATAGACTTTATTTTCTCTGAAAGCTTTGTATCTTTTCTGTAAATCTTTTTATTCTTTTCAGTAAACTCTACAATTTTAGAGATATTTTGCACAAAGGGGATGAGAATATGTGCATCATGACTCTTAAGGGCATATCTGCACATATCCTATTCTCCAACAAAAGAAAGGAAACCTTTCTGAAGAGAAGGGATCAAACTGTTCCACATTCCAACAACACCCACAGGCCATGAGATCAAGGATACAAGATCAGAACAACTGACTACAGAAAGAGATTTGCTGCAGCAAAGATGCCAGAAGCTGCTGTGGGGGAAGGGATGGCTGATAAAAGTTCAAAGGAGGAGTTCACAGGGAATCCAGGGCTACCTCTTGGGGATCTCATCTCCCCAACATGGGCTCTACTCTTGAACAAATATTTCAGCCACTGAGCCAGTGACAAATTCTAAGTCAGAGAATTCCTGTACATACCAAAGCCAGGCTAAACATTTAGAATGTCTGTGACCTCCTCATCCTCATTCCCACCCCCACCCCTACTTGCTTAGGACAGAAACAGAGAGACATAGTTGGCCCGCAACATGTACTTTGCCACCTCCAGCAGAGGTGTGAGATAGGTTGGCAGTGCAGAGCCCGCCAAGTTCAGAAGGGGAATCCACATGGTGGGTGAACAAACTCTTCAACCCACCCGGTTTCGATTTGGTGGCAACTTCCAAAGCAGTCAAACGTTTCCCATATACACCAAAACCAGGCCTAGGACTGCGCATAGGCGCCTTCCTTTTTGTCTCCTCCCCACTTTTCTGGGAAGTAAACAGAGGGAAGTGAGGCTGCCTGTAATCCTTGCTTTTCAAAATCAGATGTCTTCATCAGAGGGTAAAGTTGGGTGGACAGCCTCTAGAGGCTGCGGCAGGGAGAATTTTGTAGACATCAGTGCTTCTCTTCAAATATTTCTTCAATGTGATAAGGTAACATAAATGAGGCACCAGTATAAGATCCAACTTTTTTCTAAACTGTTGAAATAAAATTTAAAGCAACTTACCTTCTCTTTACAAAAAAAATTAAGTCAGGGGAATAGCTCTATTTACAGTGGTGCCTCAACTTACGACCATAATCCATACCAGAAGACGGACGTAACTCGAAATGGGCTAACTCAAAGGACCATTTCCCATAGGAATCCACTGAAATGCAATGAATCCATTCTAGCTGAAGAAAAAAATTACACACACACATACACACACAATCACTGCAAGACTCATTGGGAACACGATGAATCCCTTCCAGCCGAAGCAGGAGGAAAGAAAAGCAATCAAGCATGCAAGATCCATTGGAAATGCACAGAAAACAAATGGAGCAGATCAGAAATGCACAGAGAATAAAGGGGGCAGGTAGGAAATGCAAAGAAAACAAAGGAAAAAGCAAGGGAAGTATTCAGGACCCATCAGAAATGGGGAAAAAAACCAAAAAGCAACCAAACCCCCAAGACCCATCAGAAATGGGGGGAAGCCAAAAACAATCTCCCAAGACCAACTGGAAATGGGAGAAACCCCCCCAAAGCAACCAAACCCCCCAAGACCCATCGGAAATGGGGAAGGAAACCAACCAACCAACAAACCCCCCAAGTCCCATCAGAAATGGGAAAAAACACTGCAAAAAGCAACAACCCCCCAAGACCCATCAGAAATGGGGGGAACAAAAAAAAAACCAAGACCCATCACAGCACAGAAGCATAACCCCCCAGCTCTAAATCACGCTGCAAAAACACCCAGGACAGTTTTTTAAAAGCAGAAAACAGCACCTTACCTTACCAGGCAGCCCGAAGCCTCCCTGCAAACACACACACATGCTCACTCAGAAGCAGAAGCAAGGCAGTCCCAAGCCTCCTCCGATGCACACTCTCTAACTGCTGGGGTGAAAGAGCTACAAAGAAGCAGCCTCCTCGCCACCTACAGTTAGAAATTTGAATTTACCGCCTTTTTTCCCTGCCTTTTTCTGTTCGTAAGTGGAAGCTCTGGTCACAACTAGAAGCAAAATTTGCGGTTGGAGCTGGTCGTAACTTGAAATGGTCATAAGTAGGGACATTCGTAATTCGAGGCACCACTGTATTTCTAACTGTTACTGTCAAACTCTGACAATGAGTCCCCTTTATATTCAGGCTACTAGAGCATAGCTGGTCAAAATGTGGCTGGCAGGTGGGAGCTTCAAGCCTCCAAAGTCCAGGAATGGGCACATGTGCCTGGGCAACCTTCAGAGGCTGCTCTAAATTCAGCAACTGAGGAGAGGTTTCTATACCTTGCCGCTATGTA